GGCACCTTCCAAGTCTGCTGTCTAACAAACATTCAGGGGGGAAGCCTTGATAAAGACACTTCCTAAATGACAAACCCATGAGTTTTGGGAGGTTGAATAAAATGAAATAATTTTTAACCTTAAAAAAGGGGGGAGTTTGAAACACAAGTCTTAAAATTCTTTTAAAATAAGAGGTATTTTCAGACTCTAGAATTAAGCAGAATCAAAACCAAGTAAAAAACAACTTTTATTTCCTTGCCTTTAGGTGTTTCTTCAGTTCTGTCTGTCTTTGAAAATTGCAAAACATTCTGTTGCCTGCCAGAAAGCCCCTTGTGGCAAGCACAATGTCTTTGCTGGCCAATATGTGGATATATAACTTCCCAACCCTGCATTCTTTCCACACACAAAATTCCCATTGATTTCAGTGGGAGCTCTGCACAAAAGGACGAAGTCGTTGGGTGGGTTAATGCAAGACTATGAAAGGGGAGAAAGTGCTTACTGTACTGAGAATAAGCATCTGAATTGGTTTTATCACAGCTGGCAGGGCAGTAAAAGAAGTTTATGCGCAATAAACAGCTCTTGTGGTTAGAGTGACGTTGTTCATTCCTAGCCTAGAATTTGGAAGGAGTTATTATTTAATAAAGTTTAATTTGATGTAGAGAATATTTTTAACATCCTAAACTGCACTCTATGAAGATGACTGATAGGCCCAGCCCACTCACAGAAAGAAATGCAATTAATTGGTTTAATGAACTCACCACATTAATTAGCTAATGTCTGTGCAGTTTCAGAATGCAATTGAATGGGCAAATCCTGGAGAACTTGTACTCTAGACTAATTCCCCCCCAAGGTCCCTTTGCTCATCTCCAGCTGTAGCAAGCAGTTACCAAAACAGGGCAGACATAACACTCCCATCACATGCAGAGCTTGGAGCAGAAGTCAGCTCCATCCCTGACTACGTAGAGCATCCAGTCCCAGGAGGGAGACAGGAGGCTAGTGGCAGAAAAATGGGTATTTCTTGCCCATACAATAAACAGCAATTTTCTGCCTGTTGCAAAACACGGTGTACGTGAGAGCACTGGAATATAAAAGCACAAATGTGGCTTTTCCAACCACCCAGCTTCCCCTTGGCCAGGTCTGATCCTGCCAGGATGCACCGAGGAACACGCGCCAGGGTATTTAATTGCATGACGTGACTCAGCGTGGCCAAGCGGTGTTAACCCAGGTCTCTGTGTGCACTCAGTGCTGGGGTTTGGGACAGGACCCCTTTGGAGAGCTGTATGGTGTGGACTTCACTCAGCTCAGCTCTGGTTCTAGCCCCACACAGGGCTGGATGGCAAAGCACCCCACAACTCTGTGACCTGCACCTTCCCATGGAGGGAAAGGCAGGCTGAAAATAGAATGGGCACAAATGCTGAGCTGAGAAAGTGCAAGACAGGAGTTAAATGAAAGGCTGCAGTCAGTAGAGAGGTAGATTTAATAGTTCTACCTTTTCCCCACCAGCTCCTGCCTTGGCCCTGAAATGCAGGAGCTGGGAATGGTTAAAAAAACCCTGGCTAAAATGGCATTAATGACATTTATGGCCAGCTGTGATGAGGGCTACATTAGCTAACGTCTGCAGGTTGTTTGGAGGTCATCTGATAAGCAGGTGCCATAAAACATATTTTAGTTCACTTCCTTTCTTAATCTCCTTAGTGCAAAGTATATTTAGAGCAGGGAAACCCCACAGAAGCAGGACACTAATATGTGGCACAACTCTGCAGCCTTTCGATATCCTCCAATTTTATCAGCCCATCAAAGAGGAAGCTGGGAGATGGGAGATGGAAGTACTGCTCATTCACCTCATTTGGCTGCATCGCAGTGGGAGTTTTGCTCGTGTGAAGACTGACGGATCAAGGGGAAGAAGAAAAAAAACCCCAACGTGCTCAGTGTTAAAGGGAAGCCTGTTTATGCCTATAAGTCAGAAAGCTTGCTCAAGAAGAAGTTAACTCTTGCTAGAGGATTATACCTGTAATGCTGGCAATTCTGGCCTCTGCATGAGCTGTAATATCTACTTGCATTACCTCACAGGGTGTTATGGGCCTTAATTAATTAATGTTTGTAAAGCGCTTTGAAATCCTCGGATGAAAGGCACTATAGAAGTGCAAAGCAGTTATTAATATTAATATTGCATAAGTGGCTTGGCTCCCTTCGCATCGCAGAGCACACTAACTCCTGCAAGGGCTGCAGCCCTGAATCAGCAATCTTCATACCACCAGGCAGGAGCCTCCCTTCTGCCTCCTCCTCTGATCTCTTTCTTTAAGGACTCCATAGCCTCTTCTCCATAAATCCTGAACAGCCTTCTTATGCCTTCTCTCACGCAAGCAGTATGAACAGTGAGAACAGCACTTTTCATCCCATCGCCCCAGACCAGCCCTTTTGGGAGAGGAAGCTGCAGGCTGAGCAATTAAAATCTCTCCATTTGGAAGGTGGGACTTTATGCCTCTGGTTTTACCTTTGCGTAAAAAATATTTGAAATCCCACTTCTGCAATGCAGGGTAGAACCTGGTCAAACTTTGTTGCTTGTTATAACCTTTAATATAAAATCACGATGACTTTCAGTTTCTGTCATAAGCAGAGTGCAGGCAAGCCCTCAGCAATGCTGGTGCAACTCTAGATCTTTCAGGTTTTCAAAGATGAAAAAAAAAAGATTAAAATTAAAATGAAAATAAACAGATTCTTTCCAAAAGGGAAAATTTCCCACCCAAAAGCCATAACCATCAGCATAAATGGAGAGCCTTCCACCTCTCACAGGAAACATTAATGTGTTAGAAGGATTAATCCATATAATAAACTACATGCATATTTTTGTTATTTAGATTCTTGCTTGGTGCATAGAAAGGCTGCACTGGTGAATAACAACTACACAGGAAATTGAAAAGAAGCTAATTGTCACTTTGTATACAAAGTCCATGAAACCATCTCAAGGTGAGTCAATTCAAAGCCAATGTGGTAGCTCTAGGATGAATTTGGTCTCTATAAATTCTGCCTAATTTGTCTTAAAATATTACCTCTGTAATGAACTCTGAATAATAGTGATAGTAAAATAACAATAAGTAATAATGATAACATCAAGCATACTGTAGACAACACCACTCGTGTTAACACATGCAGTTCTGGGAGGATATTTTTAAGGTGCAGATAATACTTTAAGATGTGCAGATAAAAACATATTGGTATGAACAGCTAAAAAACCCAGGATCCATTTCTTACTAATTACAGAAAAACAGACATCTGGTCATCCAAACTGAGAGTTTTCCCAGCGATGCACTAACCAGATCACAGCTCAGCTCCCTCTGCAGTTGCTGCACTGGCTGCATAAAGCATTAGCACTAGTTTGTACTTGTTTGTGCCAGTGAGGTAACATATAAGTTAAAAACAAATCGCGCTTATGAACTTCAGCAAAACTCTTAGTGACTTTGAAGGAAGTTTTATCTGCATACAGGAGGCGAGCTCGACTCAGGACTGAAAACAATACCCTGCCAGCTACACGTATCTGCCTTCACAAAGGAGGCAAGCAGAGCTTTCCAAGCTCCTTACCACAAAGAGTATAACGTCTGCAGAGATTACGAGAGGCTGAAGGCAGCTTCAAATCTCAGTTTGTTACACGCTTTTATGTAGTCTTGCTGTAAGGCAAATAAAAAAGGTGCTTCGTCACATCGAGTGCATTTGCTGGAGTGACAGAAACGGTGCGTAGGATGTTTTACGAAAAGGAGAGCAATTTGGCCCAGCCACGAAGGGTGTCATTGCCTGGTAAGCACAACCCAGCCCAGGAGTCAGAGCACCCGGGTTTCTTTCTTGGCTCTGCCACTAACTTGTTGCGTGGCCTTGGGCAAGCTCTGCAACCTTGAAATCCCGTTCACCCCCAAATATAAGGATGATTATAGGAATTAGAAGGCAATTCATTAATGCATTAATTAACAGGCAGCAGGGTGTTAGAGACGGAGCTGTTCTGATTCACCCTGGCAGCCAGACAACTCCGGTCCTATCAGCACCACTGCAGGGGCTCCTGTCCCCAGTGAGACCCCAAGAAAAGCATCAGTGAGGCAAGAAGGGAACTCAGTCTCAGCAACTCAGAGTTGCCCTTTTTTCCCCAGGTAGAGGGAACTGGGAGAAAGGCACAGATCTCCATTTTTTGCAAGGAGCCTGTCCCGTGAGGCTGCGATTTATTTTTGTTGCCATGTAAATTTATATAGACAATCCTGAGGCCGTTTGGACCAGGTCCAGCGTGCGCGAGCACCATGTTTGGAACAGGGTGGGAACTCTGCGTTCAGACGCAGAGGAAGCACTTTATGTCGTTTCTACAAGACAGATGCCAAGGGCCTATACTGGAAGGTGCTGAGCACGCACTGGCTAGTGGGGAATATGATTGCTCTCTATAAATATATTGCAGGGAGGGGAAGATGGGTAAGCGCCATGGAGGGAAATGAGCTATTTAAGCAAAAGGACAATGTTGGCACAAGAACAAACTGGCCCGTAAGGCTGGAAATTTGATGATTTCTAAACATCAGAGGAGTGAAGTTCAGGAAAAGCCTTCCATGGGGGAGGAGCTGGGGCTAAAACCTAATTGAAAGGCACTGGCAGTAGGTTAATGGTTGTGACCTAAGAGTTGGTTGCTGGCAAGAGCACGGGTGTGGTGAATTTCAGAGCAGAGGCTGACCCTTCCAGGAACAACTAGGAAGGGCCCTGAAGAGCTGGGCTTTGCATTCACCACAAGGCCAGCAAAGTCAAGAGAGCTTCTTTGACTTTAGAGCAGACTGGAAGTGGGCAGGATTTGGCTTGGCACGCTGATGCCCTTCATCCATACAATATTTGCTTACTCTGACAATTGCTTTGCTGAAGGGTCTTCCTAGGAGAGGCAATAAATGCTGGGCTAAACAGAAGCCGTGAGAAACATTATCACTGGGATATGGAACCAAACCCTTTTTTCTTTTTGGTTGCAAAGCTTCAGTCTGTTCTTATTTAACACAAGACTTAAATACATGATAAGCTGCCAGTACACATCCCGGGCTTTGCTGTGGAGGAGCAAGTTATGCTGTCAGATGTTTTTTAATGCAGCAGGAACACCATGCTGAAGGAGCGATGTGAAGACTAGGTTCCTCCTCTCGGGGTATCAAATAGCTTTCTGAAACCACAAGAACAGGCCTAACAATGAAGGCAAAACAGCAGTATTAACAGTGGGGTAAGAAATACAAACTCCAGTCATCCATTGGTTATAATTTTTCAAGAGGATGCTCCTTTGAGAGAAGAGCAGTCATCACTGGAAGGCGGAGATGCTCAGCATCCCCTCAGGATGTATCCCTCATCACATTAAGGGTCAGTAGGAACCTGCAGAATCAAAGTGTATCCCTTTCATTTGAATGAAGAGGTGACAGGTAGAGCCGCTAACCATCCCAGTGATAGCCAGCTGGCTGGCACCATGAAGCAACCTTCCATAATAGCTTGAGTCTCACCACTCAAGCATTTGTATAGAAGACATAAAAGCAATAGTTGTTTGCAATTCATTTTACACCCCAGTGCCACTCTCAGAGGTTGCTCCTGGGGCTGTTCTCCCTTCAATGGAAAATGTTTCAGAGCAGTAATTCCCACTGGGCTTCCAGTCAAGACTGAAATGACTCCATCGGTGATGGTACACTGCCCTGTACGTGGAGCCTAGCAATGTGAAATTGCTGTGCTCTGCCTCCCCCTCCCAGCCACATTTATAATGCTTGTTAGGAAAACCAACTGCCAGGACTGCTCTAACTCTGTTGTTGGTGTCTCTCTTGAACTGCCTTGGCTCGTGTTTCCTACTCAGGCACCCAAGGGCAAGGTTATGGGGTTCACTTGTATTCAGCCCTTATTATTGTTATTATTAGTAACAGTATTAGTATTCATTACTAATATTAATTATGCAGCATGCGGTAGCGCCTAGGAGCCCTACACCATGTCCCAGAACCGCAGTGCACACAGCCCTTCACATGCACTGAACAGAAGGACGTTCCCTGCCCCAGAAAAAGCGCATGAGCTTGTAGTGAAACAACAGAAGGAAGAATTTGCTACCTGGAGGCCAAATTCACCAGGGCATGAAAAAATGAACCTCCCTTTAAACACATCTTTACACTGTAAAACACCTGTGCAAGCTAGAGCAGAATTCATCCCCTCAAAGGGCAGAGATGGCATAGGCAGAGTATGGAGATTAGGACTGGGGGAGGTTCTTAAAAAAGAAAATAGATTTACATGGTCCAGGACTGAAAAAAATGGGGGTTTGTTCCAAATCAGAAGTTTTATCACTGGTGCTGCTGAAAGCAACTCTATTCTGTGTCCTGCAGCCTGATGGCAGCGTGAATCTCACAGTATATCTCAGGGACTCCTAGGGTCGTACAAAACTTTGCCCCCAGGCAAAACAAAAGATAGGACATTTCTAGTCCTATGGTTGTAGGAAAATACTTTACAGTCACATTGCTGAAAGATCTAGAAAATGATGTTTTAAAAAAAGAGTTTTTTCAGTTTGTAGCATCTTTGCAACATCTTTCTCATTACAGTATGAAGAGGTCTTAAAGTAGCACCTGCATTGCTCAAAAACGTAAGGTGTATAATTAGTTTGAATTAATATGTTCCATTATTTTCTTAGGGTTTAGTCTATAACAATGAGAGAATATGCATTTAGCATGTAACATTGCACAATGCACTATGATACCCACAACTACCCCAAAGAGCTTAATCCTGCCTGCCTCTGCAGCAGACCTGCTGCATAAACTTGTGATATTCATTTCTCTTTGCCTCAGTTTACCCCTCTGTGAAAAGGGAGTAAGTGTAATTTATTGCAATTCTTCTGTAAATTGATTTGAGATCTGCTGAGCTCTATGATTTGAATGAGGGAATGAAGCTGGACACAAGGAAGAACAGAATAACGATACAACAGCATGTTCTCATTCAGCTGCAGTACTGGAGCTTGTCCTGCAATACAGCAACATGTCACTTTAAAATATACTTTAAATATTAATTTAATTATTACTTTAAATTGAAAGTGCCAGACGGTTCAAGTCAGGGGAAGTCTGTATGTAAATGCTTTGAGGCCTAGGAAGCTTTCAGCCCTAAATACTGAGGGTCACTTGAAAGGTACTTTGGCACCTTTTAATGAAGGGAGTGTGTTTCTTTACATCTTGCCATGGTTTAAAGATCATTTGTTTTTCTGCTTCTCTGGTGTGTAATTTAACATGTTTTCATATGGAAATTAAGCTTTTCTACTGCTTTTAGAGAGCTTTTTGAAAACTGCTGACAAAGAATCTGATTCAAACTTTCTGATCATCTAGAAATAGATAGCAACCCATTCTAAAAAACAATCCTTGAAAGGGTTCACTTCCATCTGAGCATAGATGAAGCTCACTGCCATTCACATGCTTAAAATTTGGCAACAGCTCATACATATACTGCTGAGAAGAGGGTCAGCTACTGAAAAAGATCAGAGTCGTTGGCGAGATTGCACTGATTTCCAGGTATCAGGGTGTAGGTGAGAGCATTTTGTATTTGCCATGAAAACTTTACAGAGTAATCAACAACAGCAAAATCAAAACCAAGTAATCCTTTGAGGAAAGAATGTTGGCTATATTCCTTTTTTTTTTTTTAGTGGATGAAAATGATTATGAGCAAGAGGCAATTTCAGCCTAAGTCCTTTTTCCTTTTTCAGTTCTATGGAGCAATAAACACCTGTGGCTACAGGAATAAATAGTAAATAATGATAACAACAAATAGGAGGGGGATCCACTTACTTCATATGGAGAATGAAGTTTCATGTGGAGCACATTGTAATAATATTATTATCAGTATTTTCATAACATTCACTTTTTAACCTAGAATCCCACTAAAAGGCAAATATGTTCAAATAGACAAGTCAGTCTCTTTTGGTTCCCCATGTAGTCAACAGAGCAAGAAAAGCTTATCTAGGAGATGAACTTACTTCCTGCTTTAAATTATCACTCCTGAAGGACCTTAGGTTCCTCAAGTGTCAACAGCAGTTTCAAAGCAAAGAGAACAGTTATTATTCCACAGCTGGGGAAACCAAAGCACTGCAGGATGAGGGGATGTGCCTTTGCTACCGGTTCTGGTGTCTTAAACCAACAAACTAACTGTTGGGTACCACTGCACCTGAAGGTACAAATGTCTTGTGAGGTGGGCTGATGCCAACCTCATGAAGTTTAACCATGCCAAGTGCAAGGCCCTACACCTGGGTCGGAGCAATCCCACACACAGCTACAAGCTGGGCAGAGAAGAGATTCAGAGCAGCCCTGCGGAGAAGGACTTGGGGGTGCTGGTCGATGAGAAAATGAACATGAGCCAGCTTCAGTGTGCGCTTGCAGCCGAGAAAGCAACCGTATCCTGGGCTGCATCAAAAGGAGCGTGACCAGCAGGTTGAACGAGGTGATCCTGCCCCTTTATTCTGCTCTTGTGAGACCTCACTTGGAGTATTGTGTGCAGTTCTGGTGTCCTCAATGTAAAAAGGACATGGATCTGTTGGAACAAGTCCAGAGGAGGGCCACAAGAATGATCAGGGGCTGGAGCACCTCCTGTATGAAGATAGGCTGAGAAAGTTGGGGCTGTTCAGCCTGGAGAAGAGAAGGCTGCGTGGAGACCTCATGGCAGCCTTCCAGTATCTGAAGAGGGCCTACAGGGATGCTGGGGAGGGACTCTTCATTAGGGACTGTAGTGATAGGACAAGGGGTAATGAGTTAAAAGACAGGAGAAGTTTAGATTGGATATAAGGAGGAAATTCTTTCCTGTTAGGGTGGTGAGGCACTGGAATGGGTTGCCCAGGGAGGTTGTGAATGCTCCATCCCTGGCAGTATTCAGGGCCAGGCTGGACAAGGCCTTGGGTGATATGGTTTAGAGCGAGGTGTCCCTGCCCATGGCAGGGGGGTTGGAACTTGATGATCTTGAGGTCCTTTCCAACCCTAACTATTCTATGACTCTATGAATTCATCAGGTTGGAAGCAATGAGTCCAAGTCCCTGTCCCCACAGAGAGTAACTTTTAGGGTAATGGGAGTTCTTGGATCGTCTTGGAAGGCCAATGCAGGATTTCCCTGCCAGGAAACGTATTGGTCTATTAGCACAACCTAATCCTGACCACATTTCTTCTGTGTACTCACCTCAGAGTGGAAGAGCTATGTCTGATGAAAAAGCATCATTGTAGGCGGCCCTGGCTCCCCTTGACACAACCACGGCTGAGTCCCTTTTTGGAAGCAAAAAAGCAGCCCTGCAGAGTGGAACTGTTGCTCTAGCAAAATTTAGGTCTCTCTGTGACCTGCCTAGTCTCTACACTCAGTATATAGCTAACAAAGAGACTTCTCCAGAAAGAGGAGAAAATTACTTTTCGCAGTGTTTCCAGACAGAGCGTTGGGAACCCAACTATGTAACTTAAGTGTATTAGCTGAGCATTTAGACTTATGAGCATCTATGAAGGAGAAGCGTTTGTTTAAGGGAAAAGTCCCCTCTCATTCAGCCACTGTGAAGGCTGCCTCATATTCTAACAGGTTTCAAAACATTTCTAATAACCAAAAAGCATGGGTTTCTCCAGGAGTAAAATTCTTCCACCTGAGATTCTTCTAATCAAACATGCATACACACAAAAACTGAAAGGGTGTCAGAAAAGGCCAAAAAGGGTGAAAAAAAACTAACCCAAAACACATGGAATGCACTGAAGCCCAAACCACAGAAACCTCAAAGGGCGAACTAATAGCCACAGCATCACCCAAATTCCACTTACATCTCATTAGAGCTTTCCTACACAGGGACATGCTGGAAAGTCAGCTAACTACAGGTGTGAAGTCAGTGCCCATAAATTAAAGCACATGTGCATGTTCTCATTCGGGATTAAAATGCCTACAGCATTGCCTACAGCAATGTAAGGCAACATTTTCCTGAGTGAGAGCATCCCCACAAGGGCTGAATGTCTTTGGCTGGTGCACACTAATTTCACACCTTTGCTCATGCACCTTCTGGAGGGCCCCTGCAAACACATGGCTGCAAAAGGCCAGGCAAGGGGGAAGCTAAACTGCTGCTGCTGATGATGTGGGAATAAGGGATGGGCCCATACTGAAGCCCTGGAACTGGTTTG